AACCTCGACACCGTAAAGGTATTAAATAAGTAAGCAATATTATCATGTCTTCTGCACTTACGTATCCCAATAATTCTCGTCCTTCAGTTTTCTCAGCAAATTTTTCCCAGTACGTGCTACATGCCTCGTCCATCTCAAGTTCCTCCTTCATAATCACCTGATATGTATTAGGTTTACCATTTATGAAGCCGATTATATAAATAGAAATTACCAGAATTCGGTGGCATTTCTCGCTTTGTTTGACATTGTAAAAGCAGGTTAGCGCAGCGTGATGCTGTGGACATATTCAGGAGGTGTTCATTTCGAATCTCGACCTGGACACCGGCTACCTTGACTGAGGGTTTTAATGGATTTCCTCAGTTCCTCCAGAAAAATATTGGAATAGTATCTCGATTACGCAACGGCCGCTGCCTTCCAGATCCTTTCCAATTTATTGTCATTCATTATTCATGTTTCCATCCGCCACTGTAAGGTCTCGATACCAAAAGCATCGTTAAGTAACCCATGAAGACACAAGAGAAGCCTTAGCGTAAGTTTTAATGCAGGTTTAGTAAAGTTTCATTGAAAGTGCCTGCGCTTTGTACGCCACACAATACCCTGCACAGTCTATAAACACACGGGAACCTCGGCCAGATCACGGAGCTACCGAAGTTGGTGTTTGTCTTAGTATGTGCTCTACTAACAAAATCGGCGCTACAAGTTCATAGCTAAATATTTTCGTTCAGAACCTGGCGTAGTATATAACTTTAAGTGAGGAGGGCGAACATTTTCAACCAAGAAATATTTTAAAATTATGATTTTGAACCAGATACCCTAGCCACAAAAGCGTGTATGAAATTAAACCCCTAGAAATGAATCTAACTTAGGTATTTTTGCCCCCTCTGAATGCAGTTTTCTTTCCTCCTATTGTGTTTGCCTCTTGTTATTTTTCGTTATGTGGGTTGCATGGTTTTATTTTGATTTTTGTGTCAACCACGTGTAACCCAAATAACCAAAAAAAAAAACAGAGGCAACTACAATAGGAGGACAGAAACCCTCACTACAATGAGCAGCAGAATACTCAGTACAAATGTTATGTTTTTGGACATTATCCATTGTCTTGTCTTTATCTAAAAACCGTCCTGTTTATTTTACAAAACACAACGTTTCAGAGACTGGATTCTGTCTCCATCTATCAGTTGGGCCCAACTGAGTAGGTTTTACCTGAAGACGGAGACAGAACCCAGTCTCCGAAACGTGTTTTGTAAAATAAACTGGACGGTTTTTAGATAAAGACAAGAGGACGGATAATGTCCAGAAACATAATATTTGTACTGATGTGCCATCGTCACAAACCTTGAGATCACATTTAGCAGAACACTTGTCCACAACACCTTGTCACCTGAAGATGGCCAGTTACGCCGAAATATATAGTGAAATGGTGTCCAATAAAAGAACAGTGAACGACATTGCACTTAGACGGCGCAAAAACTCCTAAGTCAGATCTACACAGTGCAACAGGATGCTGAAATAAAACATTATGAATTGTAGAAAGGAAATTAATGTTTTCATAATTTACTCGTCCAAAACTGAAATTGAAACAAAGTGAGAATCGCCATAAACACGAATACAAAAGGCACGACTACCAACTGAAAGAAGAACATTCGTCGACAAAATTGAGAGTTCCTTATAAACCGGTACTCATTTAACGCTGGTAATTTTATGTACGATCTGAGTTTCTCACGTCGCCGTTGCTGGAGAGTTCTGTCTTCTGGGATAAAACACAGTGTTTTCGGATGAAAGTTACCGGACTACTTTACAGCTTGCTTCTTGCTGGTGTCTTTTACTGACCCACTTTTCCACCCTGAAGATGGTTGCGTGTATTCCCCTAAAACACCTGTTGACTTTCACCTGACTACACGACGATAGAACCCAAGAATATAACCCTTCTCTGACAATATTGATTTGAGTTTTGTAGAGACATGTCCGCCGTAAATATCTGTGAACTCCCCGGGGTGACGTATCACTTGATAATCCGCTTCATAATTACCGCTGCGAGTACCTGAACTCCTTTACAGTCCGTTCGATATCCGTAGACTCCGGTGTCCGAACGCACTGCTGAAGCGGGATGGGCCAAGCAATGACAAGGGGGATTCCCAGCGAAATGTGGATCGATGACTCTCTTGTGCTTCATGTATTGCTTGCTAGATGGGAGTTGTTTCCTCTACACTACGATGTGTTTCACGAAAAAGCGACGCATGGGAAATATGAGACATTCTGGCTGGATTGCTGGCAAGAGAGTAACGGAGGGACTCAGGTGGGATTGAAGGACAGTGCTAAAGGGTATTTACGAGTAAAAGCACATTGAAATGGGTGTGTAGCATCAGGAAGTTCTTAAAGCAGAGCACGGCAAGGAAGTGGACTGGCTTTCATCTGGGTCAGGAGCTTATGAATACGATAGTGAACCTTAGGGGCACCACGGACGGGGAGGAATTCCTCATCTTCTGAGCATTACTTTCTCAAGAAAGACTGTGCTCCACTGAATTTCGTTAGTTAGATAAATAGTTATGAGTCAGTTACTTAGGAATAGGGAAGTTTAACGAAGCTGCGGTCATATCTGCACTGGACATCTGAATATGACAGAAGTCATAGGCATTTAGAATAGGGGAATGCATACAGCGGGCGATTTTGTGAATCTCGCTTGAAGCACATAAGGAGATATTGTTTAACACTTTAAAGTCCAGTGGTCCCTATGTGTACCACCCGCTTTAATGTATTAAATCTATACATTCTTCCCACAGAATATATCCGTGTGTTTCATGTGGTTCTCAAAATATGCTGTGATTTTTCCCCCAAACCGATTCGTTTTATAGCGAAGAAATGATATGTTTCCTATGAGGTACGAACTGAATGTTTATATATTACTTAGAATAAATTCAGTCTTCTATATCCCGTGTGGAGGCGGGGTCCAATACCCCCACCGTAAGCCTGCGAATCTTAGGAGGCGACGAAAAGAAAGTCTCGAATCTGGAACCGTAAAATATTGTCGCGAGTTCCACGGGATTCGGACCCGTGAATGACTGCGCTGGAATAAGGAATTAAGGAATACGTCATGAAGGCGCATAGGGAAGTGGCACTATATGGAGGTGAGTGTTCAGCTTCAAGCCTGGGCCGCTTTTTTCTCTTACCCGCTGTACCCATTGAATAGGAGGCTAGGTGGGCCTCAGCGCCGGGTCTGGACAGTATACAGGAGACAATAATTTCATTATTTTAAAATACGCTGATTCATTTCACATCTTTTCGAAGAATCATTCAATAAAAATTAAGTTCGTGGACGGAATACCACATCTGGTGTCATAAAAATCACTATGTATATATACTTGCTTGGGAGGTCACGTCTTCGTATTTCAACCCACGCTGTTTTAGAGATATGTCCTTTGCCTTAGACTGAATATGGCTTCCGATTTCTCAATTACTGTGTACTTTTTCGTAGACGGTATTCAATACGACTCCGAAACAAAAGGGTCAAGAGGTGATAAAGGATATCAAACTACTGGAGTTGAAATATTTTCTGAGAGTGCTCCTGGGTATTGGCGTCTGACAGGCAGAACCTACGGTATCAAATTTAGTCTCCGTAACATAGCAAAAGCTGAGCCGCGATAGCTCAGTCACCTGCTACTGGCTGGAGGACGGAGTTTGAGTCCCAGTGAAGCAAGAACTTTCACTTCTTCATATCGTCCAAACCAGCTCTGGGGTCCACCCAACTTCCTATACAATGTGTACCGCGGGATTTCCTCGAGGGTAAGACAGCCGGGGCGTGAAGCTGACCACTCACCTCCAACTAGTGCCGAGGTCAAGAAAACGTATATCTATACATCCACTCCCCCATACGCCTTCATGGAGTAGTGCTTAATTAGTTAAGCACAGGGACAACTTTACCTTTAACTTTAACATTGCAAAAGCTTGATGTTCCTCTAGAGAAGCTGATAGTCGCCAGGCTACTTAAGAAATTCTCTGCCCTTCATGGAACCCGAATGTTCATTACCGTACTCACAAATATGCACCACTGGACCCCGTCCTGAGATAATTGCTATGGTATTAAGCTCCTAATATAAAACATTTACATGTCAGAGACCGTCACTGCAGTCCACATTCCCGTACCATATTTATTACTCCTCACCCATGCGTGCTACATGCCGCCTCTTCTCTCATCATGTTTGTTTTTACAGGCAACTAACCACGAGGCCTGAATCCCTCTTGAGAAGCCTCCAGTTGCTCAGCCAATCAAGAAGTTCCCAATATTTTGTGGTACCCGAAGGAGCATTACCGTGTTTACAGGAACCCTCTACTGGTCTCTATCCTTAGCTAGATTAATCCAGTCCATACCACCCTATCCTATTTCCCGAAGAACCATTTTCATATTAGACAGTGTCCTTCCTTCTGGCTTTCCCACCAAAATCCTATATGCATTCTTCTCCTTCACCTTCTCCTCCTCCTCGTTCTCTTTCTTCTCCTCCCTTTACTTCTCCACCTCGTCCTTCTCGTTCTCTTTCTTCTCCTCCCTTTCCTTCTCCTCCTCATTCTCTTTCTTCTCCTCCCCCACTTTCTTCTCCTCCTCCTTCTCCTCCCCCTCCTCCTCCTCCTCATTCTCTTGTTTCTTTCCTTTCTTCTCCCCCTCGTCCATATCCTCCTCAGTCTCTTTCTTCTCCTGTTCCTTCCTCCTCCTCCTCCTCCTTATCATTCTCCTTTCTTCTCCCATGCCAACCACATAACCTGAGCCTCTCATCCTCCTTGACCTGATAATTCTAATTATAGTTCGTGAAGACTGCAGAATATGAAGCTCTTCGTTATGCAGTGCTCTCAAACTTCCTAGCATTTGGTCCCCCTTTGTTTCTTAACACAATGTTTTGTTTCATCTTTATTTACACTATTAATACAACTGCGCCTCGTTCAACGATGTGTATTGTAATCAGTTGAGCCAGCGTTGTTAAATAGCGGTAAACGTGTTTGTTTCTTTGCAGGCGCTCGAGCAATCCCGGCGCTATGACGGCCTGTCGTCGCAATGCCGCGCCGTAGCAGGCCCCACGGACCTGGCCCACTTTGTCCGGTCTCTACCCACCCCACAACACAACCCCCATCACCCATCCCTGCACCATAATTTTGTAGCGCCCCTACCTCCTCCACCCCCAGAGTCACCCGACGGAACAGGAGGACCCTCGGGCGAGCCCCTAGCCAACGTAAGTAGACTTTTAATTTATAACCGCCATGACGTAATGTTCTGGCTGTAACCTCATTAAAGTCCTGCTGTGAAAAATGTGCTTTATGTCTCTGAAGGTACTTCACAGGGTCAGTCCATAACTGATATCTTTATACAGGAAAATCATAACAATGTTCTGCGAAATTGTGGTAAAACTGCTATCTAGCGGAAGATGCGAGAACCATACCTGGGGTGAATCCAGTGGCAATTTGTGAATGCGTTCCGAGTCTTTGGATTCTGTTAGAATGGGTTAAGTAGTCAAGTCTGCTGCATGAACATGGATACGTCATAGCCTGTGTAGGCAACCTTAAGGAAGGAAAGTCCTGTGTAAGTATGTCTGAATTTCCCACAGGCTGGTCAGAACCGGAATTATATTGAAAACAGAATCTAGTAGATTTCCAGTGACGACATCCTTATCACGTCACTGACTGATAATGACGCACCCTTGTTCCCACTGTGGATGGAGTATAGTACATACCAGTATGTAAACCATGAAGATTAAATATGAAGTGTATGTAGTTCGCTATGTACTAATATATAAAGGTAAAGTTGACCCTGTTTTTGACCACTTAAGCGCTACTCCATGAAGATGTAAGGGGAAGTGGACGTATATACCCATGTAGGAGGTGAGTGGTCAGCTTCACTATCCGGCCGCTTTGTCCCCGGGGAAAGATCCCTCAGTACCTTTTGTTTATGAGGCTTGGTAGGCTCCCGAACCAGTCTGGACGACGTCAAGAAAAGAAGAGTCTTCTGCCCCTACAGGAACTCGCACTCCAATGCTATGGGGGCACTATGCTACAAGTCGGAAGGTCGCGGGTTCGATTCCTGATGAGATCATTGGATTTTTAATTGACCTAATCCTTCCAGTCGCACTATGGCCCTGGAGGAGACTCAGCCTCTATCAGAAATGAGTACCATGAATCTTCCTGGGGTGTAAAGGGTGGTCGGTGAGTAAGGCTGACAACCTTACTGTCATCTGTGAGCCGATTGTCTAGACAATGTGCCAGCCTTGACGTCTCACAACCCTCTGGGCCTTCACGGCCTGTTATAGCAAGTGTCACGTAACTTCGAATAAGGCCAAGAGTAACCTTGAATGCGCAGAAGAAAA